AAAAATACCAATGCCACGGCGTGCCGGTTTAAGATTAGCGTCTTACATGTTAAGCATATAAACAAAAATATTAAGATCTAAAATGTAATTGTACATCGATCTTTTGTAGGATATGCAATGTAGTGCTGGTATCGACAGACCCTTCTAACTCGAAAAGACATAAAATCTGCAACACACTTATGAAATAAAAAAAGCTAGTTTTTGTACTAAACATTTTTATACGAGTTTATGTGTTGTGTATCTAATATTCCACTAATAATAATAAAATAGATAGATAGATACATTTTATGTGAGAAAATATAAAAAATTGTGTACACGTCAAAATCAAAAATACAAATATATACAAATTAAAAAATAATGCAAATACACAAATATGTAGAGAAACACAAAAATTACAAAAATAAAAATCAAGAAAAGATAAAGTTTTGTTGATATGTGGGTATCTACAACTAAATGAAAAAAAATACATGTATATAAAAATAAAAATAACAGTAGTGTTAGCCAGTCTACATTCTAAAAAAATCTAAATTCCTGAAACTCATAAAAGACTCTCTCTTTCATAAAACTTTTAATTTTTATGATAAATTTTCTATTTAAAAATTCTCCAGTCATTTGGTCAGACATTATAGAATTTTATCGATAGATATTTAAACCTATTTATGTCTTTTGAGAAACAAAAATATGGAGCAATTATAGATTTGTCTGGTATTATAGTTATGTTACATTTGGTAATTAGAAAGATGGTTGCGTGCATAGACAATACATCCAAATATGTATTGGTTTGTTGTAAGTATTCCCAAGTTTTTAAACAAAGGTCTACATATTTCATTATGTTTGGCATTAATGATAGTTCTTATTGCTCGTTTTTATAACTTTAATATTTTGGAAGCATGTGAGGATCCCCCGCAAAGAAGAATACCATAACACATTACACTATGAAAAAAAGCATGATTGCTATTAGGATCACACTATGATTCACTAAATTATTGAGATTTTTCAATAGATAAATGCAATTCGACAGATTTCTAGATAGAAATGCTATATGTGCTTCCCAGGTTAGCCTGCTGAGTTTTCTCTTGATTCAATTTTAAATTGACCTTATTGAAATAATCCTTGGCTTCATTCTGCGTCTCTTCAAAAGATGTTCTTTGTTTTTATCTACTGATAATTAGGAAGCATAGAGGATATGTCATTTATGTATATGTAATGTATATAATGAACAGTATTGGTCCCAAGATTGATCCTTGGAGAACTCCATACTTAGAGGTCTTGGTGAGGACTTATTAGTACCATAATTTACACACTGATATCTGTTCATGATATAACTTTTAATAAAAGATAAAGCAGGACCTCTAATGCCATACCCTTCTAATTTTATTATAAGTATTTCAGGAAAAACGTATTCAAAAGCCTTGGATAGATCTAAATAAGATGTCATGGTAATATTTTCCTTCTCAAATTCATTGGTAACAAAAATTATAATGCCTGTTAAGGCCTTAATAGTAAACTTTCCTTCTCTATATCCATATTGATCACAGTTCAGCAAATTTTTACTAATTAAATAGTGCATAACCTAACCCTGTATGCCAACTCCAACAATTTTGATATGTGCAGAAATGGGGTACCGTCAAGAAGAGCTGCTGATCGCAAACTGAACCATATAAAAAGCTTAATAAAAAACAAAACTTAAAAGTGTATTAAAAATTGATAACAGTGGACGAGACGACAGACCCAAAAGGAAATGTCATGTGACAAATGTTTTAGCAAGCATTTTAGGCCAAAGTAGGCCACATTACCATATTTACTTGCAGAAATTGTACAAGAACTGTTACACAAACGCTTGACATAATGGGCTGCTTCGAGATACTTTTTTTAATTATGCCGGAGAAGTTCGGATTATTTTACAATTTATTTTTATTTTACAATTGAGTGTCACTTTTTTTTTAAATTATTCTCTGTCTAAAAAAATCTGTGAACCACTACTTATATTTTTATTATAATTTTTCTTTGAAAATAAATACATGTACTGTACAGGGTTATTCATTATAAATTACCCACCCCTTATCATCGTTATTATTGCCTATAGAAAAAAATTAACTAAAAGTTGTGTGGTTATGACTGAATTTTGTTAAAATGCTATCAAAAGTACAGTAGCGTGCAGATTTCAGGGTACAAAAAAATTTTTTTTTTTTAATGGGATACCCTGTATATTATTAAAATTTTGGAATGAGCCTTTGTTTCTGATTTAAAAATATACCATATGTTACCCCTACCATATACCATTTTTGAGTTATTAAATGTCGAATATTTTAGTTAAACTAATTACTGTAAATATGGAAAATTAACATTAAAGTGAGCTATGAAAATTACAATATTATGTTTGATAAGTGACATTTCGTTAATGAAATAATCGAAATGGTTTACAGTGAGGAAAAAAAACAAATATTTATACAAAATAGATAACAAAGACTTATTTAGGAAATTTAAATATAAATAAATGATAGCTCATAAAAGATGTTCGATGCGTCCACCATTATTGTCAATGCATAATTGATAACGTCTTCCTATATTTATAATTGCACCGGAAATGGCTTCCTTATTTACATTCAGATTGTTTATTTTAAGTTGAATCCAGTCTTTAATGACTTGAATACTATTATTATTATTATTATTATTGACAATGTCTTTTAGAAATCCAAATCCAAATCCAGACTGTTAGGTGGTCATTTAATGGTCCATTATTCCCTATCCATATTGGGAATAGATTATTCAAATGATCTCGAACGGGTAGGACACTGCGAGTTGCTCCATCCTGCATCCAAATCATATCAAGTTCGGCTTCCGGAAAATTCTGCAAAAGAATATTTCTGCTTCTGTGATAATTATTTCCAAATAAGCAACTCCAGTTAAAGTATAATCATAAAATATAGGCCCAACAATTTTGTTTCTGAAAATTCCACACCAAACGCTAACAGTTTTCTTCCTGCTTTTTTTATTTATTTTACCAATCTTTTTCTGTTGTGCTTGTTTTCCCACGACCTTCGATTTTTCCCATTAGAAACTTCTGCCATAGAAAAGGATGATTCATCAGTCCGTAATATTTTAGTAAAAAAATTTAATCATCTGGCAGCAAAAGTCCAGCCTTTCCCTTTTATGAGCCTCTGTTAACACGTTTTACTGTCCAGTGACCCATATATGGGTCATGCCTTATGTTTTCCGTAAGTCCTGTGCCCCATACTTGGCTCACGTTTGGGTTCTATTTCATATTAGATTCTAAGAGGGACTCTCGACGAATAGGCAGGTTATCTAAAGGGGACTCCCTTGTATAACACGGTTACTATACAGAATATACGTTTGAACCATATTTGGGGCATGGACTTGGATATTAAACCATTGGTTACTACATGTTCTTTTACAAAATTTACTCACAGTAAAAGACGATTTATATGCAAATTTCTTTTATTGATAATTTTACAAAAGAATAAAACAAACATTCAACAGTAATATTACATTCTAGTGAGCATTATTAAAACATTGTAGGCAGTACGCCTGAGAACATTCTGAGCAACATGTTGACGTTTTTTTGGTTTTTTTAGCTGCATCTTTTGCATTGAAACCTTGCGACTTTAGCACCAAATAACACCCACGACATCTTTTTCGCGAAGGTGCACCCTTATCATCTCTCATTTCTTCCAGTTTGTGAGCGGATAACTTAGGTTTTTTTGGTGGAGCTATTTTCTTTGTCTCGTCAATGTTAAAACTTGTATGGGTAAAATTTTATATGGTGGTATGTTGGATTTTGGAATAACTTTTTCCTAATTGATCGACTGCATTATTTATACTACATTCAGAATTTTCTAAAAAATACAATGTTTCAAAAAAGTCTATTCGTGAATAAATATGGATGGGCTTACCTTCGAAATGAAGCAGTATATCTAGCTGTTCTTCCTGGTTTGCTTGAACTACATGCTTTTTTCTACTAAAACTGGTGGTATTATTCACCTTTCGGTAAATATTTTTGAACGTATTTTCAGATGGTGTTAGACGATTTGGATACAACACCCTATATGCTCTTTTTGCTGTTTAACTAAGATATTCGACATTTAATAACTCAAAAACGGTATATAGTAGGGGTAACATATAGTATGTTTTTGAAATCAGGAACAAAGGATTATTTCAAAAATTTAATAATATACAGGGTATCCCATTTAATAAAAACTTTTTTTTTTGTATCCCCTGAAATCTGCATGCTACTGTACTTTTGATAGCATTTTAACAAAATCAGTCATAACCACACAACTTTTATTTAAAACTATTTTTTTCTATAGGCAATAATAACGATGATAAGGGGTGGGTCATTTATAATGAATAACCCTGTACTATGCGTCGCATTTTAAATATTTAAATCTGATTGTAGTTGGGACATATACCAACTAAAAAACAAAATGTCATGTAGTTGTTGTAATGTTAGAAAACTTGTTGGTTTTTTTACGAGTATTGAGAAAAGTTAATTTATTTTTATCCAGATCAGCTCTATACATCATGTGAAAAATGACAAAAAAAAAATTACTTTTTAAAATACTATTATTGAAAAAGAAGAATGATTTGACAACATAAGTAAAATGTATTTCTTTTTTAGAAAATAAAATAGATTACTTAGGTACTTTTTTACCGGGATGGGGAAAAATAGTTTGGGGAAAAAAAGGAAGTAATACATTAAATAAAAAAAATAATTCCAAAAACTGAAAATTAAAATAGTCTTGACTCATTAGTCCTTATTTTGGATTAAGCAAAGGGAAAAGTTCATTTTTTAATTGGACAGAATCAAAGAAACTACTGCTTTAATAAACTGTCAAACAATTCTGGGTAAAATGGTTTAGAATTAAATTTTGTGTTGAGTAAAGAGAGACGAGGCTCTACAGTTTATTGTGGAGTTCAAACCACATCTAGAGCATCGACAGTTCTCTCCCATATTAATCCGAAACAAATTACAAATAGAATTACTCTGGGATGGATTCGAACCATCAATATTGGGTACCGAGTAAATAGCAATAAGTGCTTTACCCACTCGGCTACCATGCACTAAACTAATAATTTACTAGAATGTCTACAGTGTTGTTGCAGTTTCTTGCATTATCATTTGTTTGTTACATTACATTATATAATTTTTTTACTAATTTAATATCATTTAACAAATACCGGCAGTAAATAAACCAATTGCACTTACCAAAAACTGCACAGTATTACATTTATTTACCAATCAATTTTATTTGTTGATTCGTGAACAAACTAACCTTAAAAACAAAATAACAACACATACGACACTGAATGTTTAAATCTGAATCACAGATTTGAATATTGTCTGTTTAAATTTCGGACTTCTGATTGGTATACAAGCAGAAGGTGTGCCTTTGTGGCTAGTAATTATCCTATATCTCCTTCAAAAAATGTCGAGTAAATCTATAAAATAATACAAAATATCATCCCAAGGCAACATTGCAGCGATGCTTTTCTATTACATTTCCTTTGTAGAATACTCTAAATGAGCACGTATTTTAAATTAACAGTCCACACTTAATTTATGACTACGGATTTTCCTTACATGTATTTTATTAATATTGAATAATTAAATAACCATTTTTGAAAAATCAAGTCAGGCAAATATAGTTAATAAAATAAACACATAAAAAAATATTTTCTCTTTCCTCGTTCTTCATAGTGAGGCATTGCCTCACCTGCATACCCGGACAAGCCGCCATTGGTTGGATACTACCATGACCATTTTCGATGCGTTAAAGGACTTCATTGTACAGTTAAATTCTAGTGAAACAAAAGCCATCTCTGAGGCCCAAAACTATTTAAAAAATCCTGAAGTAGAAGCAGCAATACATATAATATGCCATGGACAGTATTCAACTATTAGAAAATTCTTCATTGTCATTATAAGAGTCCTTACGTATAATTCATGAAATAAATTTCAATAAATAAATTACACTCTAAAAGATGATCATGGTAAGCGGTATGACATTTTACATAAAAATGTGGGATATGAAATGTTATGTAATATTAACCGGTATCTTGATAAGGAACATTCTACAAGTGATTTAGAAAGTTTTGTTGGCAAATATTATATCAGTAAATGTTGAATGATCTTTTTCACTTTACTTGCATGTTTATCCCACAAAGGAAATCTTTTTCAGCAGAAAACATAGAAACTGTGTTACTCACGCTAATGCTCGTTGATGCGCAAGCCAGTGTCCTCAGTTGTTAAGACATAAAAAGTACACAATGTTACTTATTTCATCATCTGCAGTAATGATCAGGAACTCAGGTATTTCTGTGGGACGCTACTGAGAGTTCTCTGGTTTGCCACGCTATAGTTACTGTTTTTATAACTGCTCAGTAATTTGTAAATTTATTTATTGTTGAAACTACTATGTAGTATTCACCTCATTTTGTAATACAAATGTATTAAATAGCTTAAAAATGCTAAGGCATTTAATGACTGAGAATAAGCCTTTAGCCTTGATAAAATTGTACCAATACAGTTTGTCTATGTGATGTTACGATAGCAGGAGTCCTATCTGCGTATTAGATATCACATATTTGGAATATACAGCAAAAAAAAGTGTACCTGATATACACACCTTTGATCTATACATTTATTATTGTATTGCTTTTCCACTTAAGTAAAGGGTCACTCAAGCAGCCGCGGCTGGTGAAATTTAGGATCTTGGTATTGGAGCATGGGACCCAAGCGATACTTTAAGGCATAACTATCAAGACTAAATGAAGAGGTTTTGCAGAAAATAAAATTGCAATATTTTCCACCTGATTCTGGAAAAAATGTTTTGCAAATATTTTATAAATCGTTTAAGAAATAACCTTGGAGGCTCACAATTTATCCAACTGTTTTTCGCAAATTTCAACTGCAATTTATTTTCTGCAAAACTTCATCATTTAGTCTTGATAGTTACGCCTTAAAATATCGCTTGGGTCCCATGCTACATATATATATGACAACCTAAATTTCACCAGCCGCCACTGCACTCAAGTGATGTATTTTCTGAACCTGGATATATTATTGTGAAAGAATCCTTTTTTACTGGACCAATTTAAAATGACAGCATATTTTTATTTTCAGGAAAAGACGCTTGTACTGGCTAGCTTAAGAAAGTATTGCAAATATTAATTTTGATGTTTTAAAGAATTTTTAAAATAAATTTATTTTTTTAAAGAGCATTACCTACCATACATTAATTTGACTGCTAGGTATGTAAAATTTGTACATAAAAATTTTAAAATAAATTAAGTGATTTTAATACTGTTTTTATTTCATGAGTTTGTCGTCATTAGGATTAGTAAATAAGCCATGTCCAGCAAGAGGAAAACTAGGAAATTTAAAATAAAAACTAGGACAGTGTTCTTTGCTGTATAATTTCGAAGTTAAATCCTAGTAAGAACACATTGGACAAAGAGGAATCGATAAAACAAAATGTTTGGCCTCATATTGTAGTTAAAAAAATTATTTTTAATATAAACAGACAACTTAACAAACATTAATCCTTATACTAGATCTTCAACAGCATTTTTAGCAGATAAAATAACATCATTAACTCCAACACCATAATATGAGGCACCACAAAGAGATATAGGTAATTTATGTTTGCTTATATACTCATTTATTTTATTCATATTTTCATTATGTCCAACAACATACTGAGGAATACACTTGTAAAGAATGTTGACCTTAAAATGAGTTGGTTCCGAGATATTCCTAATGTATTCTTTAACTGTTCTTTGGCGGTTTGTAAAAGAACACCTTCCTCGGGATGTTTTCCAAATAATTGTTCAAACCAGTATCCTCCCATCATAACAGTAAGTACTGTATTATTAGCCTTAGGAAAACAACAGCTGTCGTATATAACTCCTAATATAGGAAGTTTTTCTTTAGGGGGGACCAGAAAACCAAACCCTTCTTTCGATATTAGCTTTTCGTTGTAACATAAGTTTACTACACCTACTGTTACATTTTGAATGTTACGCAATAGATCAGATAAATGTGAATGTTGATTTTGAAGTATATTTGCGAGACTTTCAGAAGGCAAAGAACTTATAACATGATCAGCTTTTAAATGTTTGCCATTTTCAAAGTGTAACATTATACTATTATCACATATTTCTAAATTATTACATTTAGAATCGAGTTCAACATTAACATTATTTTTCCTTACATAACTTTCCAAATATTTAGGTAACGTTTCTAGGCCATTTTTAAATGAGTATACGCTCCATCGTTCTTTCTTTGCTTGTAATGGTAGACCTTTTAAATCAACATTCACATTCTGTTTTTTCAACAAATTCCTAATAAGCCCTTTTGATATACTGCCATATTGTTGTTCATATTCAAATAGCTTTTTCATAATAAAGTTGACACTTATTTCTTTAGAATTTCCTGCACATATGCCACAAATTAATGCACTTATTAAATAATCTGCAAATTCTCTGCCAAACCTGCGATTAACAAAGTCATAGATAGATTCATCATTTATGGTTTTTTTTGGGGAAAATAAATCTTGTACGAGGTACCTTATCAATGGTTTAGAAAAGGGTGTCTGTTTTTTAAATATACTAAATATAGAAGATGGTAAAGAATGCAGTTCTTGATTGGCATATATCATTCGATTTCTTGCTGCAGGATGTGATGAAAGAATTGGAACGACCTGATTACTTAACCCCAAATCATCAATTAAAGTCAAAGTATTAATACCTGGTGTTCCACTAGGTCTTATAGTTCTTGGACCTTGCTCAAAAATTATTCCATCATTCAAAATATTAGATTTTATCCATCCTCCAAGACGATCTGATTTTTCAATTATAGCTATAGGTTTATTTGGTAACTTTTTTAAAAGATAGTAAGCAGCTGAAAGTCCAGACAAACCTCCACCTAGGACAATGTTAGACATTTTAGATTGGGTTATAAATTAAAACTTATCTTTTCTAATTTACATTTTTAGGTTAGAAATTTGTCCATACAGATTGTTTGTTATAAACACTATAGGTTTGTTCGTAGAGACGATTGGTGATTATTTTCTGACTATAGAGATGCGATTATTACGAGAGTTCTGCAATAACAAACGTCCGATTGAACAAGCACATCTCTACGACAATGTGCACATGCTTCTGACAGTTACTTTCAAACGGTTGGAGATTACTCTACGAACAAACCTTATAAAACTACTCTGGTTTGTTCACAGAACAGGAATTTGGTTTGTTCTCTGCATTGCAGTCATAGAACTTAAGTTATTCTATGCTTATACAAAAGCGTAGGAAGTAGGAGGTTAGTTTTTGACAGTATACCTTAAAGCCGGTAATGAATTGCGAATATGCCAATAACTGTGCTAATTTGGGAGTTTTCGCGACATAATCCATTAGGTCTTCCGCCGGTGGCCAATATTTAGTGTAAACAAGACATTTTCACGTAATTTTTGTTCGGTAGGGGACAACAACGTCATTGGTACGTCATCAAATTTTACTCAGAACTAATCATTTTTACTCTTGATCCAAATAAGGAGTAAATATAAAGGAGGAAAGCTGTTCGTTAGTTACCATTTTCAGCGAGATCAAAGCTGAAGTAATTTGCTTGATGACGTAACACTTAGAGTAAAAATCACAAATTATAATAACACCGGCGAACATACCTATTACTTACTAACTAAGGTGAAGTGAATAGTGGTGAGAGGTATGAAACTTCTCATATGGTCTGAATGCTACTATCCGACCGACATCCTAGATGTCTCTGTGGCGGATAGCGACTTGCATCACAGCAAGTACCGAGAGCGGCGACCCCTAGCCCAGGTGGACTAAACTAATGTTATTAAATATGATCCGCCACAGACACATCTAGGATGTCGGTCGGATAGTAGCATTCAGACCATATGAGAAGTTTCATACCTCTCACCACTATTCACTTCACCTTAGTTAGTATATAACTAGCAGGTTGGCCACTATCATTTGTCTGTTCCATAACCTATGGCATACTGAAGAGAACAAATAAGTTCGAAATCGATCTATGTCTGGTT